AAAATAGAATTGGGATTGGGCCTAAGTCTCTGTTCGAAGCATTGCAATTAGAGAGGAATTCAAAAGAGAAAAACAAAAGTAAGCTAATATACAATACAAACAGCTCGTAAACAACAAGGTAAGCATGCTTCACCAATCACTGTGGTTTTTACTCTTGCTGTCTGTTCAAATTATGCATGTCTGCAAGCTGACGTACGTTATTGCGACGTATTTACTGTTTGGCACTTCCGGCTCACCTGTTTGCCAGCAGTTACCTGCCCTCTTTTCTGCTTCGCTCCCCGCCCTCCTCGCGCTTTTAGTTTCGGTTTCATTTCGGATTTGCTCACTGGACGATCAAACCACTTTTGCTGTTAAGCTGGGGGAGGGGGGCATTGAGGGGTGGCGTGGAGGCAGGAATTAGGCAGTTAAGCAGAAAAAGGAAATAACGGGCAAATAACCAGAACCTATCAAGAATTTATTATTTATTTATGTAATGACAAAGTAATCATATTGCAAACCAAAATGAAATCATTTCCGATGCTTTTGGAGCACCCCCCATCCAGTGAACCAGGTCCACCATCACGACGATAGTGCATATGGAATATTTGTGGAACAAAAAAAAATTGAAGAAATGGCTGAAACAGAAGATATGGCAAAATAAATTAAATGTGTTCTCAAAATATTTATAATGTTAACAACCAACCTCCATGTGCAGTAAAAACAGAAGTTTTTCGAATCAGATCAAAGCCCACAGTAAACTGGTAGTTTAATTCAATATAATTATAACTGACTCTGCAGCATCATGTTCTGCTGCTCTTACTGCAAATTTCACCGATTGAACACTAGGTGGAGCCATTTAGCTTGAAATTCGAACTTGTCCGAACAGGAAGGGCTCCCGTGCAAAGAGCAAATATTTTAAGACCTATACCACTAACGAAGCTGACCCAGGCATCCATCTTCGAAACAAAAATTTTCTAAGCACGTGTTGGAACATAATCCGCACCTTCCAATAATGAATGTTTTACAATTATTTGTTTAAAGGAAAAATAAAATAAAAAAAACCCTCTTTATAAAGCTTAGCTGCTACAGCTGCTGTCTAAAAACTGTTCCTACTATTGCATAAAAGCATTTATTAAATGACTGAGTAGATGACCAGTTAAACTGGTACTGAGGTATTTCGTATCTCCCAACATGTTTTACAAGGTTTCTCCCAGTAGGGGGTGCTGAAGGCAGAGGTCCCAAGTCCTTGGGTTGTACACACCAAGATTAACTCCCAGACGAGCATCCTGTTATCCATCACAGTGCACGTATTTTAATTTTCTGAAGTCAAATGCGGGTGAAAAGTGATTTTCAATTAAATTCCAGCTGAGTAAATACAAATCGTAACGATGTCCATGTGAACAGAAACTACAGTCAGGATATTCTCACTGCACATAGAGCTCAGATGAAGGAAAAACAGGAAACCGTGATGGTATCTGTGCATCTTGCCTTGCTGGGTTTGTTCAGTACCTTCAGCAATGTACCTGACATTTTCAATCACTTCTTCCATCCTTCTGTCTATCTGTGCATCCATCCATCCATCCATCCATCTTCCCACTTTTTATCCTGAGCAGGATCATGGGTCACTTCCTTTTCTACGATTTAAATTCCAAACAATGACAAATGTCCATCTTCTGCCCCTAAGTCAGAGAAGATGCTTCTCCTTATTCCCCTTGCTTCTCCTCCAGCGACAACCCCACACTCACCTCTGGTTTGGTCACTTTGGCCGCTGGTGGTATCCTCCGGTGCCGGGAATATGTGCAACACTCCGTCCGGCCCACAGCACCAATGCCTACGGCTTAGGAGAACGACGGCAGCCAGCAGATGTGCAGGAGGGGAGGTGATCTATGTCTAGATCTCCTCAAAGCAGTCAGACTTAATGCCATGTTGTAACCCCAGTGCATCAATAATCATCCACATCTTGCTTTGCCAGAGGGAGTTTAAGAAATCCAATGTAAATCCTTCCACTGAGAAACTCAGGAGGACGCCAGAGGCAGTTCAACACATCCTACACACATGAAAGACATTTTAGAACCTCCTGCTTAAGCGAGGCCCCAGCACATGCACAGACTGATTCCACAGTAACACCGTAGTGATGGTGTTGCCTTTTTCATCAGTTTGTCATTTTTTTTTTCCAACAAGTTTTTCAGAAATAGACTTAGAACTGCACATGAACTAATGTTGAATTGAGAACATAGAGTCAGTTGGGCATGACTGGGCCATTTTCCGTTGGGCCACTGGTGTCCATTAAGTGTCCAGGACGATGTCACAGCCACTCTTTGCTGGCGCAGGACCCTGGACATCCTCCAAAATGCTTAAATTAATTCCATCTCTCTTTTTGCAGAGACAAAGCCTAAGACAAAGAGCCAAGGAAGCGGAGTCTTCCATGTTTTAATCCATCTTTCTTAAGATGTCCTCCTTTCTCGCAGGCAGCCACTAATCCTGAACCAGGCTTCTGCAATCAAAGTTCTTTTCCAAGAGGCCAGTATCGCTGTAGTGTTTTGGACCACAGTGCTGAAGAATCATAGTTTCTCAACCAGCACAAAACCTGGGAAGGTCCAAATTCTGCGTTATTTCAGGTTATGGCCATATTCTCTGTGAAGTGGCTCACTTCCATTGTGTGCCTTGGCATCATGAACAACTGCATATTCATTTAATTACAGCACCTTTCTGTGCATCTAAGCTTTAGTTGTTGCTGCTTCACGCTCTGTGATGAGAGTAGCATTCACCTACACAGGAGATACTCCACCTCTAGGAGGCAGCAGAGGTGGACTTGGCTTAGTAGGACTCCTACTATAGTCTACAATGGAGGTAAAGCAACATTCAGCTTCCGGCCTCTGGATGGTGGTGATACGTTTCATTTAGTCTGATTGGAGTGAATTAGCATTTTTTAGCAGATTCTAAGAACTTTACATTCCACAAAAGTAATGCAGAAAAACATTGTGAGACATATTCCCATAGCTAAAGATGTGTAATTTATATAAGTAAAAATAAAATTTACAAAAATGACCACTGGGACTCATACAAATGATTAGTTTATTTAAAGCCAGATTTGGGGGGGGGGAAGAAGAAAACATCGCAAGAGAGAACTACATTAAGTATGCAAAAAGTTAAATGTTCACTGTATTTTTAAATATTTGCTTTGCAGCATTACGTAAACTTGAGGAATGATCTCCAGGAAAATGCATTTCAGTCACTGAACTAGACTAGCTGTGTGAAGAGTGTTACATTCGAAAACTGGGGCAGATGTTCTGTTTACTTTTAAGGTCGCAAACAGACATGCGATCATAATTACGGTATTTTAAAGAAATTAGAAATGGATGATTTGTGTTCTCCCTGAATTTTCTCCTTGTAGTTATTCTTCCAAGTGTAACGTTCATACACTACACAACTTTGTGGTGCAACAAGTTAATTTTGCTTCCCATTTGTCAAACTATTGGCAATTTGGAATATTCTTATGATTCTGACTTAAGAACCTTTTTCACGTAGCTAATTAGTTGCCTGGCTTTCTCGAGAGGCACACTGATTAAAGACGTTATAAAGCTCGGCAACATGGTCACAAGCAGATTCAGCAACATAGAAACATGAATCATCATAAAATTATGAGAGAATGATAATTACATAAAGTAAAACTGAGAGAGTCCTTTGTAGAGCATGGCTGCCTTCCATTTAGCCTTCAAAATAATGGCCCCTAGAGATGCACTTCAGCCAAACACCAGCCTGGAGACGGAAAGCTGCTCATATATGGGGTAAATGGGATTATAACGGCATGCCCATTAATCCTGCTTCCTGAATTACAATCATGACCTCTTGCTTGTAGACGGAACTTCCAGCTTCAAAAGATCACTGCTGCAACAGGAGCATTTCAGATTAAAAAGGGGTCTCTTCTTGACATCTCCATGTTGGATTGCTGCATGGGAGGGGTTTGGTTCTGAAAGAGCGGCTGCAGGAAAAGGCCCACGGTTCCCACCACACAAACAATGACGAAGATCCAGAGGAACAACCTGTCCACCACCATGGCCACGTACTTCCAGTCATCAATCACCTGGAGAGGAGGTGGAGAAGGTGGGGAGCCATGACAGCACAATCATTTACTGGTATGGGAGCTCTGCAAACAAGCAGCACAGACAATGTGGGGCAGTGGAAGGACTAATTGCAATAAAGTATTTCAGCAAAACATTGAAATTATATTTTACATTACAGATGGAAGCAAATGGCCCTAAAATACATCTTTCCATTTTCTGTTACTGTGCTACAGAAGTTCCCTGTTCACTTCATCAATAAACCGATGAAGAAATGAACGCTTCGTCACAAAGAAAGGTTTCTGGAAAGTTCACTTACACTCTGGTCATTGTCGGCACCCATCATGTGATCTGCAACAAAGCACACGCCCTGGACAGCCTCCTGTAGGTCGTGTCCCCAGTCCTGGGAGTCAGCAAACCTATTGGTCAGGAACTCTACTGAACGCATGTCACCCTTTCTCAGCTTCTGACTGAGGCTTGTAGGGGCTCTGCTGTAAAGCTGTCCCAGGGTACGTGAGTGGCGTAAGGCAGGGGTGGAGGCGGAGATGCTGGAGGGGGAACCAGCACAGCAGCTCATCCCTGCCCTGGACGCTCGGAGCTGCCGCTGCTGCCGGAAACGCTGTCGGGCCGAGAAGTTCTCCGGACGCCTCATGAAAAGCAAAGCAGGGAGCTTGACCAGGAAGAGCAGCTGGACCCATGAGGGCATGGTGTGTGTGCTGGGGGAGCGGTGGTGCACGTTAAGCACACACACACTCGTGATTATGGAGAAGGTCACCAGGACCATCGTGAACATCAGGTACTTGCCAATCAGGGGCACATCCAGGGAGGTTGGGGGGACGATCTTGGAGATGAGCAGCAGGAAGACGGTGAGGGCCAGCAGCACGGAGATGCAGAGGGTCATCTTCTCTCCACAGTCAGAGGGCAAGTAGAAGACCAGGATGGCGAGTGAGGTTATGAGGATACAGGGGATGATGAGGTTGATGGTGTAGAACAGGGGCTTCCTTTTGATCATGAAGTCATACGTAACGTCTACATAGGTGGGGTCTGCGGGATTGACTGTCCGCCTTCCTGGCAGAGCCAAGATGTCCCACTCGCCACTAGGCGTAAAGTCATCCATGCTGGCCACTTTGCTCTTGAGCACCAGGTCGATCTCAGTATGGTCATACGTCCAGGACCGGAACTTGAGGGTGCAGTTCTGCTGATCGAAGGGGAAGTGCTTCACCTCAATCTTGCAGGCGCTCTTGTAGATTACAGGTGGAAGCCAAGAAACACTACCGTTGAAAGAGACGATTACATTCGTAAAGACAGTCACCTCGTAGGTACCGTCAGCACTGCAGATGTGGAAGGGAAGGGAGAGATTCACAAGGATAATTATGCAGACAGTTGACTAGTTAGAATAGATCAGCTTTATTGTTAGTGAGATTCGCACTTTTGCCACACGTGGGCGCCAACAGTACCTACTTGTTATACAGAACTATATCAGGGAGCCACACATGACGAGAGGGAATCCGCAGCTTATCAATTCCATCGAATTTGGAAGGGTCCCATGACAGTCTGTAATCGACCCAGTCCTGCAGAAAACAATTTTAATACTGCTTTCTATTCATTTAATTAAATGCCGCTTGGCCACTATTTACTTAAACTGACAAAACAGCATTAATTTCCTTTTTCGTTTCAGATCAGAAAAAAATGGGAAGATAACGGTGAGACAGGATGTAGAGTCGTCACCGTCATGCTTACCTGAGTTAGCCACACATTGGTGGTCATGATCTGTTCTCTCTCGTTCTGGAAAAAGGGTGCGGCTGCATTAGACAGGACGGTGCCGCGCGCCTGCGTAATTGCTGGGTGACGTATGGCGGACTTCTGCTCGCTTACCACGCTGATGAGTTGCGCCAGGGAGACCAGGAGCTTAATGGTGACCCGCTCGGTCCTGTTGATGGCCGGTCGGATCAGCTTGTTGTAGTGGTCCTCATGCAGAAGCTGCTCCATTAAGCGCTCCTCTGAGTCCGCTGCGCGTCCGCCTGCCCAACGAAACGACTGCTGCGTGATCTATTCAGTCTTATTTACATATTTATTTTGCGTCTTCTGGACTGAGAAAGAAGTAAAAACAAGTAAAACGGTATGATATGTCGTTTAGATGCACTGTAACGCATCATGAATCTCATCCTGACTCGTAACACATTGGGAGAAATCTGTGTAACGTTTCCTCTGTATGTAATCAAAAGCAGGGATAAAACTTAAAATTACAGGGAAGTTCTGATGAGTTTTTTGACACCATGCTGTCCCAATCCAGCTACTAAATAAAATAAAACGGAGAACATATTTGATCATATCTAACATCTTTAATGGTTTTTATATGGGCAATGAACGAATATTGATTCACCTGTCAGACTCAGTAGATGCTTCAGCAAATAAGTATTAAACTTCACAGTTAATTTGGGAAATGGTGAGCTGGCGTAGAACCTCAGGATAAATGGTGATCGTGGATGTTCCAGTATCATTAATCGAACTGGCATTCAAGATGGTCATGATATAAATTATTTCACGGGCAAGTAGGACAGTAATCCTTTCGCTCGCTTTTTGCTGCTCTATCACAAAGTATGTAAAATCATACAATTCAGAAAAAAGCTTTTGGATAAACAAATATGTACATCCCCGGACCCTGATGAGAAAAAATTATTACAAAAGGATGGATGTATGGCTAAAATGGCATGAGAAAAAAGAAACCAAATTCATTCACGAATCAGTAACTCATCCCCCAGGAGAGCAGCACACGAGTCTCTGTAGAAAAAAAATACGTAGCTTTAAATCTCATTTCTACAATAAAACAGGATCGGGGAAATTTACTCTAAATGTTTCTTCAGCAGTTTATTAGTAAATCCATGCATCCACACTTTTTGTATTTCTATTCAGGAACCGAATGTGAATAAAAATGACATTCAATATTACGTTTAACCGAAATAGTGAATATAAAATTATATCTTATATACCAGCGACAGCATATATTTAAACGCAGACAAAATAGAAAGCAGTCAACATAACAGCAAATTACATGTCTGTTATGGGCAGGGCTACTCAGTACTCCGGGAGAAAACTCAAGTAATGCAATATCCCACCTTGGCTCTTAACCGAAACGTTTTATTTAGATAGGCCTAATACGATTTGTAATGCACAAACAGCCGTGCGAATAGCTAAAAAAGTGCACTTACTTTGAAAAACAAAAAAGAAGTAAAGACAGTAAATCAGAATCTGTATCATATCGGGAAGCTGTCCAGTTGGGTCCTTCTCATACAGCCGGCGTGAACTTCACTTTGAGGTAAGCCCAAAGCATACCCCAAGCAGGCGGAGACTGCAAACCTGCGATCGTGTTCGTTGCTTTTACACGAGTTACAGCAAATTTCTGCAGAAAACGGACCTGGAACACTGAAGACCTCGTGCCGCCTCGAGAGGGGAGCAGAGCGTTAAGCGCGCGCGCACTGGCTCCCTACGTCCTGCTTTATTTAGTTGCATAATTTTCGTTATTAACTTCTGTCCATTTTCTTAATTTCCTGTTTTTATATATATAAATTGTTGATGCGATTTTATGTGTACCAGATATCTTACTTTTGTTACATATTATTTATATGTATAAATTGTTGATGCGATTTTATGTGTACCAGATATCTTACTTTTGTTACATATTATTAGGATTCAGTTCCCTGTATGGATTTCTAAACGTGAAAATAGATAATGTTGTACATGTGGTGGTGGTGCGTTACAATATTAAGGGGCTGGGAAGGCCATTCTTGTGTAATTCCTAGGACGAAATGTATCTTAGGAAATGTATCATGGTTGAGGTCTCCACCCATTTAAGGGGGCCCAGGGGGATGCATTGGCTGGTTTTGATTATTGTGGGGGTTACAACCCCCCATCCCCCTTTATTTGATCATGCCAACATGACTACTGCATATTACACTATAGAAAGCCTGCCCAATGACAATATTTGTCAACATGTGATTCAATAAAAAAAAAGGCTTCTATTTGTAACATGACAGGTATCTAACGGCACTCTCAGGTTTGCACGACATGTTATCTCTACTGAACATGGAGAAGGAGACACACAGGGACATGGATCCCTTGTCAGACTGAAAAAAAAAGACCGCAGATGTTTTAGCACACTGAGGAAGGAGCATATGACGTAACCATGGCAAACGCAACAGCCTTAGGAGCAAGGGGAAATAAGCGTTTGGTAAATAATACTGTAAATTCCGCTACGATGGAGAATTCATAGTAGATTATGAACATTATATTTTATTTTGAACAGTAATATCTCCTTAGTTATTTCCTGCAAGAGGACAATATGTTTCTGGCTGCTGACGGGGGCGGTGGGGGAGGAGGGGTTGCCCAGCAGAATCAGGGCCACCCCCCGGACATACAGGTAGCCACTTCGTTTCCGCTTAATGCTTCTCCTCTTACAGTAGACACTGGGAAGACCATCCTTCAGAGGAGATGTGTGATCTAAATAAAATAATTAGTCATTTTTTAATAAAGTGCTCAAAACTGTATTTGCTCTTACATCTTTCTAAGCCTTTATTTCCTCTTAGTACTGAGGACATTTTTCCTTTACTTAGGCCTATTAGACAGGCAGTTATGCTGTCCACAGCATTAATTGTTCTTGGCATGTAGCGGCGGGGGCTGCAGAGAATCATAAAGACGGAGCCCATAAGTCAGACTCGAGGCTCTCCGCCATGACATTACACTTGGCGGAGAGCAGATGCTTAACAGCGGGGCAAGACTGCTGTCACAAATGAAGGTTCTGGTGATCTGTCACGAGGCAAGACAGGCAAATGAAGGACAAATGGCGACCAAAGAACGACAGGTCTCTGGGAGGGACACTCCTCAAACACTTAACCACGGTTAACTACCTTTTACCTTAATACCTAGATTGGCAGGTATAAATATCCATCCACTTCCTGAAACCGTTGGTCCTATTTCAGGATTATATTTATGCTTTTACAAGAAAATACCTTGCATTTTAACCAGCATACCGCAAATGAAGTCGAGTTAGCATATAAAATACATTATATTTTGTTTTCATAGCAGCGCAAGTGCACATAAAATAAGTAGGCATTTGCGCTTTTACAAACAATCGATTGTCGCATGTATCGTTCTTAAAAGTGAATGCGCACTTGCGTACCAGTTATGTGCACCCCTGGTTATGACTGCCTTATGAAGCTCTCATCTATAATGTACCATAGATACCTTTATAATGCAGTACAAAGCATCCTTAATGCTTATGCTGACCATTATAATGCATTATGAAGGTATCTATAGTTCATTATAGATGGGAGCTTCATTGGAGCTTATGAAGTATTATAATCAATACTATAATGCCTTATAACTGTCAATAGAAGATTCATTAATGCTTTATTAATTCTTCTACCAACCACTATAATGCACCATGAAAGTATATATTGTGCCTTATGGATGGCAGCTTTAAGTAAAGTCTTATCTTTTTTTTTTTTTACTTTAATGCTGTAATCAATAATGTGCCTCTTTATATAACAGCTTAAATGGGTAAATGGGTCCCATCACTGAATCTGTTGTAGCTGATTATATTATTCATTAAAGAAGTGTAGGACCCTGATGAAATTTCTAGCAAAGACAGTAAAGGATGGATGTTGGATCTAGAGTAATACATGAAGAAGCTGAGCCTGCTGTCGAGCCTTTCTGTGTAATGGCTCTTTCTACAGCTGATAATAAAGAGGCGGTTAAGTGCTTATAGAAGATGAACGGGTCAAAGCTTTTATATGTCGCCCTGAGCACAATGGGAAATAAACTGCTTAGGTCAGGAGTCGCACTTCTGGGGACGCACCAATTTCATTTTAGTTTCAGCATTATTCCTAATACTTAAAATGATTCAAACTATGTATAATATTAATCTAATGCGATCCCTGCTCACCTGCCAAGACCCAGAACTACCGTGGACGGCTTTTCTCAAAGCTGCAGAGCTTTTTGTTTAATGAGCAAAGAGGCAAATGTCCTTAACAGCATAAAAAACACACGATGTATGAGGGTACAATGTATCATTATAGACACATCAAATGGTGGAAGAAAGTGGGACTGCAGAGTAACTGAGAGCAGCTGAGACTGTGATTGGGCCAGCAAACCTGACCGTCTTATGCCTTATAGCCAGCCACGAGATGATGATGTCAGAGGCCAGCCACGAGGTGATGATGTCAGAGCTTGGATCAAAATAAAGACAAGAGCCACTGGAGGCTGATTCAGAGGACACTTAAATCATGCCGGTTAAGCAAGGCGATCATTATACCCTCTGTGCAAAATGCCTCCTTGATGTTTGATTGATGTTTGATTGATGTCTTGAGGGAATCTCCATTCATAATCCACTGGGCAATAGAGATGTCCTAAGGAGCTACACACAAGCCTAGAAGCTGCTCCCCAGAGCAGAATCAAAAACTGAGGATGTTACATTTCTGAACAATTTGCTGAGGTTCTGAATTCAATGCACAGAACAAAATACAATACAGTACACTATACAACACACTATATAATACACTGTACCAGGGCCATTCAAATCACAATCCTCAAGGTCTGAGCACTGCTGATTTTCCAGCTTTCCTTTACCTGTCAGTCAGATGTGAAGCCTCTGGTCAATCAGAGTCAGAAATTAATAAAATGACTACCTGGGAGGAGTGAAAACAAGGCATGGATTTGAAATCCAGGGCCAGATTTGAAGAGCCCTCCACTATTCAATACACTATGCAAGCTCTGTTCAATATGACCCTAAAGGGTATATGGCACAATGCACGTAGAACGTCTGTATGTACAATACAAACAGTAATCAGTGTGCAAGACAGTGCTGATAAGATCACGTGGAAGCTGTCTATATGTCTATACTGCAGTATGTTATACCATTTTGGAAAATTCTCAACCTGAATTGATTCAGTTAATAAAAATCTTTAAAGTGCTCAATCCAAAATGGTCAAAATCTATATGAATCGTAAGTGATAAAGTAATGTTTTGTCATACCTATGAATAAAAATTTGGATGAGTGTCTGACTGATTGTTCACAGGGACTGGCTGTTGGCTGGGAGAGCTAAGACATATGCTGTATGGGCTTGTGACGATGAGAGATCACATGGTTATTTACTCTGGGAAGAAGCCTTTATGAATGGCCGCGGTCTCTTGAATTCTAATCTATCTGGTGCTTATTTACTTGCGATACAGCGATGTGTGGCTGATTATCTGTGTTACTGACAGTAATTCCACTGAGGAACGTGAACTTTCCTTAAGCTGATTTTGGCCTGTTAGCCCCTTTGCTATGCTGCTTCTAGTCTCCTGTTGTCATTCTGTCCGTCAATGACTGATTGGCTGACCCCAGTGAATCTAGCCATTGCACACTGCCACCCAGCACATCTGCGAGGCAGAAAATAGATTATGCTGGAAATCTGATTTGGCCATGTTTCCAAAGCGTGTGTGAGAGAGTGAATCCGCCAGCCTGTGACGGACTACAGAAAACCGTTATCCAATTTGGTGGGCCGGCACAGGCCTGCTTCCTGTTACCGTTTCTTAAATACTTATGACATATGTGAGCAATCAGTGACTGCTGATGTTTCACATTGTATGTCACCAAATTTTATTGCTTTTAAGAAAATTCCAATTTTTAAGGACCGCTAACACCTAAAGTATGTTTGGGCCCCTTAGCAACACAAGCTATTAGCTCTGTCAAGCTAACCGATTCTGATATTCCCTTTACATGTTCCAAAACTTCCTAATACTTGTTGCTCATTATTACAGCATTAGTTCCCATGGCAACCATAGTATATAATTTGGATCAGCCACTGGCCACCTACAGACACATAGCTGACACTCATATTCAGCCATATTGTGTTTTTTTTCTATCCCTCCAGACGGTTATAGTCCCCAGGTATGGGAAAATGATTAGGCCATTTAAGAACATAAGAAATGTACAAACGAGAGGAGGCCATTCGGCCCATCAAGCTTGTTTGGGAAGAACTTAACTAATAGCTCATAGTTGTTAAAATCTTACCTAGCTCTGATTTAAAGGACTCCAGGGTTTTAGCTTGCGCTACACTAACAGGAAGACTATTCCATACTCCAACTACATGCTGTGTAAAGAAGTGTGTTCTCAAATTCAGTTTAAAATGTTCTCCCGCTAATTTCCACTTATGGCCACAAGTATTTAAAGTAATATTGAAATAGCCATTTGGCTGAACAGCATCCAGACCTGTTAGAATCTTATATACCTGGATCATGTCCCCCCTTAGTCTCCTTTGCTCAAGGCTAAACAGATTCAGCTCAGCTAACCTCTCCTCATAAGACATTCCTCTATGACCAGGAATCATTCTTGTAGCCCTACGTTGCACCTTTTCCAAGGCAGCAATGTCCTTCTTAAGGTATGGTGACCAAACTTGCACACAATATTCTAGGTGTGGTCTTACCAAGGAATTATATAATCGTAGCATCACCTCCCTTGACTTAAACTCCACACACCTAGAGATGTAACCCAACATCCTATTGGTCTTTTTTATTGCTTCCCCACACTGGCGAGAGTGGGACATGGAAGCATCAACATACACTCCGAGGACTTTCTCATTTTTCATGATGGATTATTGGGTTTGGTTTCTTCCTAAAGTTTAGTCAATAATAATAATTTGTTCACGATAAACACACTAAAACCACGAACAGAACACCCTACAGAATATTTATGATCCAAACAGCTTATTTTTACCAGTGAAAATATCATGAACAACTTATGCAAACCCAATGCTTTATTTATTTTTGTTGTTCACTGAACATTTTTCTTTCACTCTTTACCTTCATTCACAGGAGCTGGGAGGGAGCAAAACCCTGGACTGCCTGGGGGTCCAAGAAGAGTGATTTGAGAAACATTGAATTAGAGGAATTGCCTAATTAAGCCACAGTCATGACAAACACAGGAGTATAATTAAACACACAGTCACGGAATCTCCTGCAACAAACATTCGCAGCAGAGTGGATGGTCATGCCAAAGAGGTTAGTGACGTGTTACTTAGATGCCATCTTTCCAGCTAGTCTGGGTTGCCAGTTTGTGAAGGACATAACTTCAGCTGTGAAGTGTTTGCCCACACAAGCTCACAGAAAGGGACCAGATCACCCAACATCAATATACAGCCCGAATGGCAGTGAATCCCACCGACAATGTTCCAGCATCTAATGGAAAGCAGAGGCTATTATAGAAACAAAGGGTACCAAACTTCATATTAATTACCTTGGTTCTGCAGTAAGATGTTAGACAAGCTGGTGTCCACATACTCTTGGCTATATAGAGTAGATGCCGATGACTGTCTTTGTGATAGCAACAAAAAACAGTTCAATCTTATTGAACGTGTCCTGCTCTTTCATTCATTCACTGAGTCTTCTTCTTAACCTTGGCACAGGATAAAGCCGCCCTGTGCTTTATTTCCTCTGGGAATTTTGAGCCTGATCCATTTAGTAAAAGAAAATTAAATCCAAGGAATAATGACCACCAACCCTCACCAGCCTGCATTTCTAAAAATGCATAATTCATAAATCCGCTTGCAGTAAATTAATATAACTGAGGACTGTTGAGCACTGTGCCCCCTCCCTCCACCTCATTAATCACACCACCAATGTAAGTTTTAACCCCGAGTGCAATGTTTGTATGAAAACAGCATCTGCAGGTTTGTATCCTCACCTCCCACTCGATTTAATCAAAGTCCATAGAGCCCAGAGGCATGAAATCAAATTTCTTCTAGCCACTGGCCTGGAAAACTGCTCACATTGTCCCTGACGGCCTTGAATAGGATGCTGTAACCAGGACATGACAGCAATCAACACCATCGTGAACTGGTACACATCATAACACACTGCAGCTCCAATTATTAAATTATACAACTTAGACACCTACTGTTAGAGTAGGTGAGTTGCCATTATACATTTTTTTCCATTTGTAGAGCTGTTTCCTTAAAAAGCACAAATTCCTCAGTCTAGACAACCCTGTAATTACAAGTAGCAGTGATCAGAACTAATCTCTCCAAACCTCTGGCCTCTGCCTGTCTGCTGGTGTTAATGTGAGTTTACTGTTGTGGTTTTACAGTGGCACAGGTAGTTGTGCCAATAACCCCCTTCTGCCGAACAGCATTGTGCTGAACAGAATCCATCTTGGTGAAGCAGTCCAATTGAAGTCCGAAGAAATCTTCATGTGTGACTTGCCAAGGTTACACCCCCAGTGCAGCAGTTATAGGTTTCACAAATGGATACTTGACTTCCTTATTTCCCCATACTTTCACAGATGATGCGTAGAACATTGCGGAAATTACCTGTAAGTGTAACTGAATTGCAAATTGATTTTTTGTATTTAATAGCAACGTTTAAAGTGTAGTACTCGACTTCGCAAATTAATTTTAGGACGTTTTAAATGGATCATTTCATTAAAATGTTCGTTTACTATGTTGTTAATAGTTTTAGTTAATAACGGTGAAAAAGTGTTCCAATTATGTAAGTGTGCTGTTGAAAATATTTTACGATAAAGAGAGCAGCCTGACATCTATTGGCAAAAATGCAGAACAACATCTTCACTCAACTTAATGTGCTTCTCAATCATGCATTTCCAAAAGTATAGGATTTCATTTTTTGAAGAATCCATTATCCATTTGAAGATCCATTATCAATGCATATCGCACTATATCTTTACTGAAGAAATTGAAGGCAAATATTGTTCTTAACCCCGTGCTGTAAGATTAATGAAATTCGGCTTAAATTCTAGATGGAGAGTGAGGATAAAGGGACATTTCTTTGTTCGATAATATCACTGAAGCTTTATGGACTTGTCTTGGGGGTATCTGCACAACCACACTTGGTTATCTTGGCAATATTAATAAGTTGATAAAACTGCTAATTTAAAGGTTTGTCAGGAAACACCCATGGAAATTCATTATACGTACATAATGGCAGATAAAGGCCCCCTTCCATTCTTTAACAACTTTTAGAAATTTTAATAGTACTTGGGCGGAGGCACACTTAGACCCATTGGGACCTCAACGTGTGAGCAGTGCTGAGGCGTTACACCGGGGCTTCGTTTTGATACACCAAGCTCCCACGCGACCGGAAGTCCATACCGTTCTGCCCCTAATGGGCGCGCACGGCATTCTGGGCCTCTGCGGGCTCAGGCTGCGACGCCATCTTTAAACCCCAGAAGGAGCAGCCGTCGGAAGAAGTGTTGGTATCAGTCGCTTTCGCTGGGTGTGTTCATTACGGATATTGTGGGGTTTCTGCGTTGGTACTTCCGCGAGGGACCGGGGCGGCGCGCCTCTCTTTAATTAACAGACGCCACAGGCAAGTGTAAAGCCGGCGGAGAGATCGGTAACGCCGGCGGCGGAAAGAGCGGCGGGCAAGCCGAAGGCGTCGTTGTTTAGTAGCCCGTCTAACGTGCTGATTACCTCGTTAACTAGCTGGTTGGCTAGCCGGTTCGCGTATTACGTTCCGAAGAGGTCGTTTTCCGTTAACAAATGCGTCTCTTCTTTGTTATTCCAGCCGCTGGTTGTGGTTCAGGCTCCGCTGCTCGGCCGCAGCAGCTCCCGAGTTACCCCCCCGCAGCCCGGCCGGAGATGAGCGGAAGATGTCGGTGTCGGGGCTGAAGGCCGAGCTGAAGTTTCTGGAGTCCATTTTCGACCCAAACCACGAACGCTTCCGAATCATAGACTGGAAGCCCGATGAGCTCAGCTGCCAGTTCAACGTGACGGGGGAAAAGCTGCTGATAATCCACTGCAATATCACGGTAAGATGGAGCTGCGAGGCCGGGGCGCGGCGGAAAACGGCCCGACGGAGCGGAGGAGGAGACGGGGTAGCTCGTTATGCTAGTTGGTTAGGGTGTACAGGCAGCCCATAGCTTGCATACCCGGCGGCTTGTGCGGGGTTTTAACTAATTAGAAGGCGGAGGACTGGACGGGTAGACTTGTTTCATGCCCGGCTACGGCGACCGGTTGTTTTGATCCACCTTAGCCAGCTACGCACTACCGGCCACATTAACATGGATAATCGGCTCACTACATTAATCTGCTTAGTCGGTAATGTGGCCCAGGTATCACATACCCTAACCTGGTTAATCAATAATTCGATCGAGGTATCGTCACGGTCGCTCTGTTAGTGGGATTCGGCGAACGGTGCCTGACTGTCCGGGCGCCTTCGCGCTGAATGCTGTGGATAAGGGGAGACCCGTTCCGGCGGACCGCAGGCTGCCCGTCTTCCCCATCGATCTCCATGGCCGCGGATTCTGCCGTGCTGACGGTGTTTACTGAGTGGATCTTCGGCCTAAGCCAGATGTAGTTAACGGGCAACGCCAGAACGATAGCATGCGGCCGCTGCTCTCCCACCCGCCTTCTCGGCGTTTGTCGGCCCGGTGCGGTGGCTGGGTGTCGGCCGTTGCCTGACTGAGCGAGTCAGGCCCGTTTCGAGGTTTAACTACCCGGCAGATCAGATGTTTCACACTCAACTAGCGTCGCAGGGTAACGATATTCGCCCTTGCACTGTTTTCCAAGCACCACCACCTCATCAGAAGTATTTTCGGCGCACACTCGTCAGTAAATACAAAGATTTACCTCCCCGCCCATCGTTACTCTGGACTTACACGCGTAAAATGCCATGTTTCCCGGTAACTGTATGGCGGTAGATAGTTCTAATTCGTATAATGTTTTTGTATGTACATTCATGACAGAATTTTCAATTTTCTAAGGGGCTATGTGTATTGCAGGACATGAAATGGGTCAGCCTCATCTGCTTATAATGGGTGAAAGTATACAATTAGTAACTTGCCTAAATGCCCCGTTGGCCTTTCCTCAGACATGTGTTATTCATATGGCCTTAAGTGACTGTTGTGACATCTTGGTCCTTTTCCGAATGGCGTTTGACACGTGCTAATGGTCCCACACTTTTGTGTCAGGAGTCCTACCCCTCCACGCCCCCAATATGGTTTGTGGACTCTGATGACCCCAGTCTGGCGCAGGTGCTGGAGCGCTTGGAGGATGTGAGGAAGGGCAGCACCTTGGTAAGTGGCCCTACAGGCCCCACATGCGGTGGCTCTTGGTGTTTCATCCAATCTGAGGCACTGTAGTGAAATGCAGGCCACTAATGTTATAATCTAGTTGCTTAGCCGGTATTAAGTATGAAATTGGCCACAAATTACCAGGGTGCCATGAAGTGATTCCATCCATTGTTCTGGTTTTTAAAGCATTTGAAAGGATCTGAAAAATTTGTTTTGCCTTTTGCTCAGGTATTGTATGGTTATTGTACGGTTCTCTGTCAATGCAAAGAGTAGAAAACACACAGTAACATGGGAAATACACAAGGTAGTAATAGCAAAATATACAGGCTTCTGTGCAGATGGAGAAAATCAGTTGTTCAGTGCCAGTGGGTCGTTAAAGCTGGGCAGCACATCCTATGCACCTTCTCTCAGCCGCTCTCTTCACTCCTTGCATGGAAGGTTTGTGTGGCACTCAAAGCCCAGCAGGTGTCGCTGCAGAGCAGTGCAGCAGGGACCTCGCCGTATAGCCCACCTGCCCCTGCGTGCGGCGGTGCATGTCCTTTGGGCTGCCTTGCTGCACATGGCAAATGTATTGTATGGGCATAGCTGGCATTGACTAGTGCTTCAGGATGTGGTCCTTAGTCTTATTTTTACTGTTTTATTATCCATGCTTTTTTGTTTATTTCTGTGGGTGGTTGTGAAGGGACTTGAGCTTTGGTGGAGCAGTGGCAATGGTGGGTGTGCACGCTTGCTGCAGAATGCTGGGAGAATGAGGATGCTGAGGAGCAGGTTTATTTTTGTAATCGATTTCACTTTCTCTTTGTAATCATGAAGTTTTTATCTGTGGCCGTGCTTAATGCCAAGTGAAATTTGATGTAAAATCTAATTGCTGACACTTACTAGGTGACTGTTTAACAATCCCATGAGCAAAGGGCTCAGCTTAATGTGTTCTTGCTTTCAGTGATGTAAGTGCTTTTTTTTTTCTAAGGGGTGTGTTCCATGTTTAAACTTGTTTATTGATTCATATGTCTGTGTGCTGCGTCATATGCTGCGTCATACTGATCACTAACAGAACTCCATCACATGGTTTCCTGCGATCAAAGAAGTGTGTTCAGTAACCATCCTGGCTTCAATACTAGGATAGTATGTAGTAAAATGTTAAAGGGCGGTCTTGGATGGAAAGCTTCTTGCACTAAATCCAGGATTTCCAACATCAAGTGACCCTATTGTGACTGAAGGCTTTTGAACACATGCAGGAATGCAGGAAGGTGCAGCATGAAAAGGCTCATTATCTGTCATTGCACCCTCAGCTCCTGCAGCAGCTGAAGCGGTTGATCTGTGACCTCTGTCGGTTGTACAACCTGCCCCAGCACCCTGATGTGGAGATGCTGGACCAGCCGCTCCCCACAGGCCCCGTACACCCTGAGCGGAAGGCAAGTATCACACTGCGTTTGCCTGTAATGTTCTCAGCATGGTTCAAGGTTTACTGAAAATGTCTTTGATGAAGAATAATGGTAGTGAGATTGAAACAATGCCCACATAGATTTGTCAGGACCTGGTGTCCAGGTAAAGTGTAATCGTCTGGTTTTATTTTTTTTTCTCTTTCAGCATGTGCTGCCTGACGAAGTAACTTCTGAGGAAGAAGAGGAGGAAGATATGGGAGAGGTCTTTAGCCTTTTGTGTACGTATTTATACATGTACACCTCAGCTCAGATAGTAGTTACTCACAGCTCTGTGTCCTACGGCAGCAGGACATTGAAGATCTTGACCACTATGACATGAAAGAGGAGGAGCCCGTGGATGGCAAGAAGTCTGAGGATGATGGGATCGAGAAGGAGAACCTGGCCATCCTGGAGAAGATCCGCAAAAACCAAAGGCAGGACCATTTGAATGTAAGTGCTGCTTTGCTAAGCCTCCCTTCTGTCTGCTGTACTGGGCCTCTCATGGTCATTCTCCTGAGTCTGAGCACAGTTTGCTTTTACATACTTTGCTGATCATTTTTTTTCTTTTCTGGTTTTCTTGTAATTATTCACTCGTGTGTCATGCCTGTGGTGATAATTGTCCTTCCATCAACCTCCAAGATCCTAAGTCATATTCATTAAATTCAAGTCCCCCCTTTTTCAACCCTTGATGGAATGGTAGTTGTGAGTGTTCTCTTTGGTATCGATCGAGAGGCCTCTTCTCGGGGTGTAGGACAGCAGCTCTGTGGCTGAGAAGCCCTTTGTCACAGTGAAAAGCGGCCAGGAAGGTGGCTGCTGCCGTCTGCTGTGGCACACTCGTCTCCTTGATGTCTTTATCCCAGCTTGTGCTAAAAATACGCAGAGCAGCATGAAGGGCAGGCCATAGTGCTCAGTTTGACTGCGCTGATGGAGGTCGGGGTGCCAATGTAGAAGTGCTTTCTGGGTAATAAGGCAGTTAAGTGTCATTGAAATCTGGTAAATATGCCTCTTTAGCTGCAAATGGTTGTGATTCTGATGGGCATCGTCTCTGTGTGCTGAATGCTGATGATAAGATTAAACGACTAGCTGGCTTGGTTTAGACTCCCAGCTTTCTGTTGCCTGAATGAGGTGGTGTCCGCAGACTGCCCTTCACCCTGATTCACTGTCAATTTCTGTCTTTATTTTTTTATGGCTAATTTAATGGAGGTCTTTGCACCAGGACAAAGTTGCGCTCATCTACGTGTCATTTAGCAATTATAGTAATCCATTAACATAATTTGAATGTCTTTGGGCTTTAATTTTGTCACACTTTGGCTTTAAGTTATTGCTTTGAATGTATGATATGCATGAGATTTAGAACATGACTCTTTCGGCAGAAGTTTACACTGTCACTTTGCCGTGGATATTACTGCAAAGTTATAAGCAGCTTGTTTTGTATTAATATCGCCAACGTGACCAACAGCATACAACCAGCCATATAACTTTGGCTGGTATTTATTGCCCACATGGTTTGAGTTGTAGCTTTTCGCAGTGTGACCTTTGACTTTGCTCTTCCAGGGTGCCGTGTCCGGGTCAGTGCAGGCCTCCGATCGTCTCATGAAGGAGCTCAGGGAGATATACCGGTCACAGAGCTACAAGACAGGTGATGGTGACCAGCACCAGCATGCCGACACTCGTTGGCGGTGACACCATTAATCAATGGTTTAGAATTGCCAAGATGATGTTCTTTGTGGTTGAACTTTATAGTTGGACTTTAGTTTGTCTTCCACTGATTGCTTAGTTGCTGCAATGTGACGGAATTTCTCTTGCAGGAATCTACTCGGTGGAGCTTGTCAATGACAGTCTTTACGAGTGGCACGTCAAGTTGAGGACGTAAGTAACACTTGGCTTGGAGAAGCCATTGAAATAGGTTGGGTCTCATTTTGCTGTTTGTAAAGCTGGCTGCAGTGATCCTTAAGATGGCAGTCCTTCATTGTTTGCCACAGACATCTGAGATTAACTCCTCCTCTGCCCCTCTCTCCCTCGCCCAGGGTAGACCCAGACAGCCCGTTACATAGTGATTTACAAGTTTTGAAGGAAAAGGAGGGCATGGACTACATTCTGCTCAATTTCTCCTACAAAGTGAGTGTCTGAAGTAGTTGTTGTCTCACTTGATGTGTTAGAGTCTAACAGTTTGTTCTGACTCCCACAGGACAATTTTCCATTTGACCCGCCATTCGTGCGAGTCGTCTCACCTGTGCTTTCCGGGGGGTGAGTGTCAAGGCAAAATGCTGCAGTTCTTTGCTTCCTGCTCACCATAGTCACGTGTGCATTAGTGGTGTACCTGTGTGTGTGTCTGTGTGTGTGATATTCCATATCATTAAACCATGACAATGCATGAAAATTCTGCTGGAAAAAAAATCTGAAGACACTCTCACAAACCGATCTAGAGACTCACCTTACAGGTAAATACCATGAGCAGGTGTGGCTCATCAGAAGCCAGGTAGGATAGAAAACGTCCTGGCTAGTAGCTCTCCAGGACCGCAGTTGGAGACCCCTGCCGTGGCGAGTAGAGATCAATACATTACAGTATATTTTGTCATGTAGTGCATCTATGTTCCAAGTTTTCAGAGTAACTTATACATATCTGAAAATAGTACAAATATGACAATGTTTCTTGTGCAAATTGTGTGTTTTAACATTTTGCTAAAATGAAAAATGTAACATTTGTCCTTTTGAATTCAAATTCCACTAAAATCTGCTTGTTTCACCATATTGAAAATATTGATCATGTATTACTGAGTTGAATCAGTTACATTTCAAATATTGCACTATATCGAATCATCTTGTGGCAAATCTTGCTACTTCTACCCCTAGTTCTGTGTGTCGCTTTCCGAGCAGCTGGTAGGGAAAGGCGTTAGTGTTCCAAGACCCATGGCTTTCTAAATGCTGCACGGAGAACAGGCTGCGTGCTTAATGGGGTGTCGCTTTTGTGTTTGTGCCACAGTTACGTTCTGGGAGGCGGTGCCCTCTGCATGGAGCTCCTCACAAAGCAGGTGTGTGCTGCTCGGCGCTCCTGTGAGAGCCCCGCCGAGTCATTAGTGCGTGCGTGTGAGTTTCAGCACCTCTCCTGTCATCCCTCAGGGTTGGAGCAGTGCATATTCAATAGAGTCCGTCATCATGCAGATCAACGCCACCTTAGTGAAAGGAAAGGCCAGAGTGCAGTTTGGAGCCAATAAGGTGAGTGGGAGAGCAGGCCCACCTCTGACCCGCTTTATGGCCCATCACTAGCAGGCCCACCTCTGACCCGCTTTATGGCCCATCACTAGCAGGACCACCTCTGACCCGCTTTATGGCCCATCACTAGCAGGACTACCTCTGACCCGCTTTGTGGCCCATCACTAGCAGGCCTACCTCTGACCCGCTTTGTGGCCCATCACTAGCAGGCCTGCCTCTGACCCGCTTTGTGGCCCATCACTAGCAGGCCCGCCTCTGACCCGCTTTATGGCCCATCACTCGCAGGCCCGCCTCTCACCCGCTTTATGGTCCATCACTAGCAGGCCCGCCTCTGACCTGCTTTATGGCCCATCGCTAGCAGGCCCGCCTCTCACCCGCTTTATGGCCCATCACTAGCAGGCCCATCACCGAATGCTGCCACTGGGATGCTGCCAAACGTCTAAGATCCATCTATGCTTATGACCCAGATCTTTTTTTCTGATGCACCACTGCAGTACCATCTAGCTTTTGTGTCTGGCTTTACCAAGTGCTGGGTATTTTACATACTCGTGTAGCTCTTAAGCTCTTCAGGTGTCCACTAAGATCAGTGATGTTCTTGCTCTCTCTACAGAACCAGTACAATCTTGCCAGAGCACAGCAATCATATAGATCACTGGTACAGATTCATGAAAAAAATGGTAGGTCTCCTGTGTTTGAAACATTGTGCTTGTGACTTTCTTACTGGGCTTGTGTGATGTAAATGTCAGCTTGTCTTGAAGTAATGCCCTTCTCTGTTGGATGTAGCTGCTCATGCATTTTTCCGGGTCCTGTTGGGAATCACTCAGCAATAGTACTTAATCTTAACGGGCCGTCTCTCCTTTTATATGGGGGCCTCCTGCCCATCGAGGCTGACTTTGTGTGTCTTCTTGCAGGCTGGTACACACCCCCTAAAGAAGACGGGTAAACAGGAAGCCCTCCCCGAGTGTGCGCACTGGGACCACTTGTTGTTTTTGTTTTTTTTTTTTTTTCTCGTCTCTCCCGTCTTATTCTCTCTCCCCTGACTCTCAAACTGACTTTATTGGGAGTGCGACTCCAAATACGCTTGACCTCCAAACGCCTTCGCTTGGAGGCTGTTCACATCCACTGGGTAAAATGTCACCATCCTCTCCTGTCTGCTGCCGGACGGCCACATCTGTCCTGCTTCCCTGCTGCCCCCCCCCCCCCCCCCCCCCCCCCCCCC